CCCTCAGCAGAGGATTTCAGTAGATCCACCTGTTCTGCTCCCTACCCTGTCTCTGAAGAATCCTCTCACCCCTCACACCTCTGGCCTGCACCCCAGTTCTTGTATAAATAAATTTTTATTTAAAAAAAAGAAAGATTTAACTTTATCCATTCAAAATCAATCACTATTACCCTTACTTGAATGTTATAGTCATTTTTGGACCCACAAAAATCACTATTTAGTTTTTTTTTTTTTTTTTAGAGAGGTTTATTGATGCATGCAAGAGCTGCACTGCAGGCCAGAGGTGTGCGGGGTAAAAGCTGACAAGCTACAGGACAGTCTGCACTGTCTAGCACTTTCCTGTGAGATGAGAAAAACCAAGCCGTTCTGCAGAAAACTGCGACCTGTTCCACTGCTGGGTCTTATGCTTGAGAAGGGACAGTCTCACGTGGCTACTGAGTCAAACATGGCCCTGGGTAATCTAGGCAAGAGCTCAGGCAACTGCAAGGTGGAAAGAGTGGGGAAAATCCCTACTTAATGCAAAATAAACATTTTGATAAAGGATTATGTCCGGAGGCTGGTGAGTGAAATATCACCGAGAATCACAGTGCCTGTCATTTATTAAAACAAATATGCAAACTGAAGTTAAAGCAGAAAACAAACAGCAGCCAACTGAAAATGGCAGACAATCAAAAGCAAAGGTAAACATGGAAAGTTCTTGGGAGCTGCCTTGGCTGGCGTTCAGACGACCTGACTCCCTTCCAGATCTTTGTCTGTGCCTACAAGCTTCCTGAAGGATCGGGGAGGTCATGGATGTGTCTGATGTGTGGGTGGTTGAGGGATTCTCAGTGGAGGAACAGGTTGACCGGAAGCCTCACCAGGTGAGGACTTCCAGTGATGACATTTGAGAGGTGCAGAGTGACTCTGCTCACACTGGCTGATCGGCCCCTGCATGCGTCCTTGGAACTCTTGGAGAGTTTTTGTAAACACTGTGACATTAACGGGAAAATGGCGGCCCTCTGCCAGGTCAGATGAGAGAGGCACCCTTGCAAGGCTTGCTTGGGGTGCCTCCTGGGACTCTGCTTTGTAGGGTTTTCCTGTTCCTTTGGGGGTTACGTCCAGGATAGCAAGTGCATGCCTTTGCCCCATCTCATACAACCACACAGTATGGGCTCAGCAGGCCATCATGAGCTCAGCAGTCCATCATGCCTACCGTTCTGCTCTTCACGTGTCTCGGCTACAAAATCCCCTTGTTCCCCCAGCTGACACAGCACAGTTATGCCTCAAGGGCTGGGTGCCCCTCCCCAGTGCTGGCGCAGACCCTGTCCCTGGATGCATAGTTTATCCACACTCGGACGTGGCTTTGGAGTCAAGATTTACAGGGAAATGGGCCGGCCGAGAGTAGTGTCACCCAACTTGCCTACGCCACGAAGAACCCCCAGCACAGCCAGTGATTCCCTCCACAGCGGCGGGGCTGGGAAAGCAGTCAGGCTGCAAGGCAGAGGCCGCACATCCAGGGATGGATTGTTGGGTGTGCTCTGGCTGCTGGAGGGATGTCCTGGGCAACGTGAGGTGTTTGGCAACACATGGACTTGAGGATGTCTCGCTCTGATAGTATCTACCAGTGTGATACAACACTCTTAGGGCAAACTGTGTAGACACCTTGAAAGTGTGGCTTTCAGAGCAGAGGCAGGGACATGTCCGGGCCTCCTGCGACAAGTGCTCAGTCACAGCTGCAGCTCTGAACACTGGCTTAAACCAGCTTCTCGGCCAATCCCACTGCAGCCTGCTCTGAACACCATGATGGGAGCTGCTGTTGGATGGAGAGGCTCCAGGAATGTCACTCCAAGCAGGGACTGTGGGGCTCGCCAACTAGGGCTTGGACCACCAGCACTGTGGGGCGTCACGGAGGGAAAATGGTATTTCTGGTGACCTGGGCGAAAGGCTTCTGTTGGCTATGCAGGGAGTTGCTGAGGCCCACTAATCAGGAAACAGCCGTCACAGAGGACACAGAAACACAGAGGGTCCAAGATCCTGTGACCTGGAGAGACAGGATTTACAGTTGCAGGTACTGGGACAAAAATTTGAGGTGGGAAAAGAGGAAAGTCTCCCTGGCAGCCTTCCATCACCCGTGGGCTCCAAGGCACATGCACGTGAGGACACTGCTTTGTATGGATCCTTCTCAAGGTCACATTGGAGCGATGTTAAAGGGAGTCATGCATGCGAGGTCACAGGACTTCCTTGAAAATAAGAGGATTAGCAAGATCAAAAGAGCAACCTCCTGCAATAACCTCTAAGAATAATGGCTTTAATTTTCCCTGGATTGACAGTTAGAGTGACGGTCCCAAGAGGGCAGGACCTCAGGAGATTTCAAGGGAAGCCGGGTGGGGGGCAGCAACAGAAAAATGGGGAAAACTCAGGGGACCTCGAAGGGCAAGGGGCTTGAGGGTGGGCGGGACATTATATTGATAACGATTCAGCCCCTATTCAACTGTCCAATCCGGGGAGGGGACTGAGAGGACATGATAGGACATGGCGAGCTGGGAAATCAGAGTCGTTTGCCAGATGACTCAGGGCACCGTCGATGGGAAGATGAGAAACAAAGAGAAACAGAAATCTCAGCATCAAGAGCGGAGAGGACAGAAGCAAGACAGCACTATTGCACAAATGGAGCTGGTCATTTTCACAGCCTTATGTCTGTCCAACACCCAATCTATTTGAATTTCGTGCCGCTTTGAGGATATTTTTATACCTTTTCTGAGATTGTTCAGTTCAGCTATAGTGATGGAGCTCACCTGAGTGACCCAGGTGCGGTTTGGTCTCGATATGTGTAGGTTCCTAGTTGGATTGCTCTTCACCCACTTCATCTTTATTCATGATGCCGCGTCAGAGTCAGGCCAGTAGAGTCCTGATTCGATAGTACACAGGATGCGGGGGAGAGAGGACTGTGGAGGGAGCCCAAACAATTGTGGGGTGCATGTGGGTGCTTTGGTGTTGGCTGTGGGTGCTGACAACACTTGGCAGTGACAACACCTGTACTTGCAAAACTCCAACATCCAAGCACTGATGGAGACCAATGCTGCCTCGTGAAAAATAAATAAAAATTAACAATAGAACCCTAAAACAATTGCCCAAGGCCAAGAGGTTTGTGATTTGTTGCCATGGTTTCTTGGGTCTGGACCGGCTAGTACGTCCACACTAGCGAGTGGACGAACTAGTGAGTGGAAGAACTTGAGTCTCACTCCGGAGCTCCAGGTAATGCAGGAGCCTCATCAATTGTCATAAGAGCAGGGTCTACACCCGTGGAGATGTGAAATTTTAGAGATGGATTTGACAAGGATTCTCAATACGGTAAAACATGAGAATTTAGACTTTTTCAAAACATTTTGATAACTTGTATTTAAATCTAATCACAATTCCAGTTCTATATTTGTTATTGATATTTCATTTAGTGTCCATGAGGATGGGTCCTTGAAAATGGATTCGCGGCAGAGCCGCCATGTTTGCAATTATTTTTTAAGCTGCCCAGGGACATCTTTGTTTTATGAAGATAAGTTTAAACATACTGAGAGTTAAATAAATACTACGGGAGAGGAGATACAGGGGTTGAAATGTTGATCCCACTTGGAACTCAGCACATAAGAGAAAGCAAATATTAACTGTCCTTGAAAAACCTCATCTACAGAGTGCTCTGCACCTCCTCAAAAGATCACACATCTTCATCAACTTCTGCATCACTTGAAACTAATCTCATTATTGAAATGATACTCCACACCCATGTCCATCACGGCTTCCAGGATAAGACATGACCGCCAAGATCGCGTGACTCCAAGCCATGGATTCCTTGCTGATGTGATGCAATAAGACCAATAATCCACCCACAGGCCAACGGTATAAAAGTGCACATGTCCAGAGTCTCTTTATACTTCACACGCTTGCTTCTCCAGAAGAAGGACGAAAAGCCAGCATGAAGATGAAGTTGCTGCTGCTGACTCTAGTCTTTGGTCTGACATATGCCAAACATGTCTCTCAGGTACCAGGGACCTCCTGATGGGGGCGATGCTGCTGCTGTGTGTGTGTGTGCATGTGTGTGTGATGTGTCCGTTAGCAAGAATGCATCAGATTTTACATAACCTTGGATTCTGCATCTACGAGCATAAAACAGTCATCTATGATGTTAGTGGGAACAGAAACAGGGTAAACTGCTCTGGATTTTCCCAAAACAAGGGAAAATTGGAAATAACTTGATCCAGTTCACCCACACTTGGGCATCTATGTGAATAAGGAAAATGATTAAGTCAGTATTATCTGCTCTGAGATGGTTACTGCAACACTATATAAAACAGCTCAGGTAAGGAAGCAGCAGGAGTGCCCATGGAAGGGGGGTTGGGTCAAGAAGATGAGGTCTGGGCATACAGTGGAATATTATTCAGTCATGAACAATGAAGGGTTGTTGTTATTCACAAGAAAAAGGAAGGAGTAGGAGGAAACAATGCCGAGGAAACAATCACAATGACAAAGACAAATAGTGGACATTTGCATAGTGGACAATTATTTGGCTAAAGCAAAATATTTATCAAAATGAATGGGTACAAGTAAAAGAAAAAAAGGTTCTGAGGTGAAGTCAGGGGGGAGGCAGACAGGGTGAAATGGGTAGAAGGCTGTGGGGCAGGAATAGAAAGTATAAAACAATGCATCTAACTTGCAGCTTTGTATATACCCCCACTTTATCTGTTGTAGGTTAATAAATAAACACATAAAACTGACATGCCAAATGATAACTTTTTGGCATGATATTTCGGTGACATTCTTTGAGGGATGATAAAAAGCTCAACCCCACGCTTTCTTTTGGAACCCTACTCTTTATTTCACTCCCTGTAGGTTAGTCGCTAGAAGGCAGACCCTACAGCACTCAACACTATTCAATTTATTTCTTTTTAATTGATGTCAATGACAGTCAAAGATACAGTGGGTGTCAAAACAAGAGACACTGACCAACTTTGCTCATGAAATCTTTTCAGATTTCCGGAGAATGGCGCACGCAGTACATCGTGTCTACGAACGCGAGCATGACAGATGAAGGTGGCCCCCTCAGAGTGTACGTCCGTGAATTCACCTGTGACTCCAAATGCGAGGCAGTCACCGTCAGTTTTTATGTCAAGTAAGCAAAATCTGCCCAAATGTTAAGTGACATGACTTTGGACAGGCAGTTCAGTCTCAAACCTGTAGATCTGAGGTTCAAGATTGTAAGAGTCAGAGCTCTTCTGGAGAAATGGTGCTCTGAGTTTTGGGGGGTGCCTTGGTCCACAGACCAGCGTGTGCCATATTTCTGGAGCGTGTAGAGGGTGAGCAGCTCCATTTGAATTTTGTCATTAGAGAGAGGGTTCACAGACATCTCTTTTTTTTTTTTTAAGAAATCCCACTAACAAAGGCTTGAGGAAAGTCTGGATCACATGCAGAAAATTTTCCCACATGGGAGAGCATTTAATCAGCAGACATTGGGGGAATGTTTTACACCAAGAGTCACAGGATGAGAGAAATGGCTTTTATAGCAAAATGGATATAGTAAAACCATCAATAGTTCAGGGGATGTTGATTTTCAGGGAGGACACGCTCCATGTATGTGGAAAGGATTGTATTACAGAAGACTATACTCGAAGTGAGAACAAGAGGCCTTGGTCTGGAGAGTTTCATGAGTCAAGAAGATTGATTTTCCATTTGTTGTGTTGTAAGTTAGCACAGGGGTCGGATTGAAAGTAAGGAGTGGATACAGTTCTGGTTCTGCTGAATTATCACTGTCCTAAGTACATTCTGCTGCAGAGCATATACAAATTACGAATTTGAGGGACTTTTAGCAACAGGATACGTGAGAAAGGGGTTGGGTGAAATCAACAAGTTAATAAAAAGGTAGAGGATCAGTTTATTTCACAAATGAAATGCTACAGTTTGAACTGGCCCACCAGTAGAAATGGTAATAGAATTAAACTAAATCAGAGAAAAATATAAAGTGGAGAAACAAGTAAGACGGGGGTATGGTGGTGATGTGGGAGAGCAACATGGTTGTCTCTCACTTCAAGTTCTGTTTGGATTTCAATGCTAAAGATTTCTCTGATGAAAAAGTAGCTTACAGAGGGAGGGCTTATGGCGGGGGCAGAGAAGCCGTGTGTGGATCAGAGAACACAAACAAGGTGGAATCTTTATAAAGGTGGAAATGGAGCAGCAACCATCCGAGCGCGGAGGTTCTGTCTCCTTCCGTCACAGCCATTACGTGGAAGTGCTTGAAGGCCACCAGGGGACTGGCTGGCAGGTGGAGACACAGGAGGCCCTTCCACCGCCTATGGCACAGGACACCTCAGCACAGAGTTGTCTAATCTGTGGCCTCCAAAGGTGCTGAGTATGGATGATGTGCAGTGTAAGGCGAAATGAAGGAGTAAATAAGCTTGAAAATCTAGTATTTTGAGCAATTAAAAGACATTGAAATGTTTGGCGGATCTCATGCATGTTTTCTGGGCCTTTTTAAGGACACCTGAATGCCAGCTGTTGTCAGTAGTAGGAACCCTGACAAGCGACGATATCTACACAACAGACTGTGAGTACATGGCCTTTCAGACGAGCATGACTCTCGGGCATGAGAGGTGTGGACATGACTGGTCTGAGCTCTGTCCGAGACACCTCCCTGTTCACCTCTAAAACCACCTCTGTTCCCAAGTACAAATGGAATCTTGGCTCACACCTCATGTGGCCAAATGATTAAATATTGTGTGTTTTTACACAAAAGATGCAGCAAGTTCATCTTCTTGAAATAGCAATCTGCAGGACTAGGACCTAATATAATGAAATAATGTTTAATATTTTCCAAGAGCTTGATCAATATCAACCCCTCCTTACTCATTTCATGTAGGAAATGAAAAATGCTGCAACATTGCTTGTTTTTACATAAAAGAAACACTAGTGTTCCAATCTTGATGCAGAAAGTTCATCTTCTTGAAATAGGAACCTGTGGAACTAGGAACTAATATAACAAAATTACATAAAATAATGTCTAATATTTTCCAAGAGCTTGATCAGTACCAATCCTTCCTGACTCATTTAATGTAGGGAATGAAAAGACTTCATCTTGGATTTCATTATTTTTTTTAAAACATTGGTAAGTTTCTATACTACTTAAAAAAATGAATCCCAGAATTCCTGAAAATTTGTCATCAGCTCTTGGGAACCAGTACGTAGACCTCACAGTCCGCCCCTTCCTTTGCCTGCAGTCCCTGCTGTTGTGACTGTGCTATCTCTCAGACATGGTTCCCGTTCAGGAAAATCCTCCTCATGTCCTGGAATGTTGGGATGGCTGGCGTCTCTCTCTCCATCCCTCACACACTCTGGAAATAGGAAGATGCTACTTTTCTTGAATTTTTCATTGCTTTCTATTTACAGTCTCGGGCCAAAATTATTTCCAATTCCTTCACGTATCCAAGGACTTTATGGTTATATACATTAAGAATGTGAACGGTGATAGTGTTACAGAAATAATGGAAGCTTTTGGTAAGTGTTGTGGGGTAAACCATAGTATTATATAGAGTTTTACTAAGGAAAGGAGGAGGTGTATGTGTGTTAGTTTGAGCACTTGAGGATTCGGATTTTGTGTTGATGGAGTCTGGGATTTTGAAAGGTCATCTTGCTCCAGGTGACCCGCCAGAATGTGTTTCTAAAAATGAAACACTCTTATCCAGAGGAGGCACACAGGACTTCTGGGTGGGCCGTGAGGTACCATCCAAGGCTGCACACGGCTCTAGCAAGTAGGGTCCAACGTTGAATATTTCCCTCAAACAGATGAACCTCTTCCGAGCTTTCCCTGTGTTCACCTCAACCACAAATACTTTATTTTATAGAAATCTGAGGGCTCTGTTTTAGACGTGAATCATTTCTTCACCAGATAAACACACAAACCACATGAAGTCCACAGACACTTCAGATGAGTCCTTCTGACATGACTTGGGCGCTGGGTAGTGAATGACAAGGACAAGGGGAAGGAATTGTGTTTCTCCCTTTCAGCCTGTGTGCTGGGGCTTGAAGGGAGTTTCCAAGGACCTGTGCCCATTTGTCTTATGATATTGAAGATTAGGTGAGAATGGATTGTAGAAAATAAATAAATAGACTTTTGAACTGTCAGGTACTACCATCTCATACAATCTATGCACCTTGGAGGGCAGTATCAGATGTAGGGGTCAAAACACAGTCTTTCATTTTCTTAGCTGTCCCCAGAGCTAGAAAGTGATAAAATGTTCCATCAGTGAACCCCACCTCTGGCGCCATCTGGACAGCAGTATATGGGTGCCCTTCACTGAGCGGCATTGATGGGGCGGGGGGATGATGGTGAGCTCATCATCACACAATGGCACCAACCCAGGCCACACTGTGGGAATTATCTTGTGTTTTAACGGCTATCTCTTCTGATTCTTTTCTACAAAAAGCACGGAAGCAGGAGACCCTTACGGATCAACAGGTTGATGCCTACTACAGAATGAGTGAAAGAAGGGGTATTTCACCGCAAAACGCCCAGTACATCCCCCCTAATGGTAATGTCACTGTATTCTGGCTTTCGGGGTGAAATGTATCTGAAATGGAATCATTCCACTGTGATCCTCACTTCAAATTTCCATTGCACATGATCAGCTCTAATAAAGGCAGCTACAAAATTATTCTTAGAGAATCAAGAATGCCAATGACCTCACTGTCTCCTGTCCTCTCTCCTTCACAGACATCTGCCCTCAATAAGAGCATCAGTTTGGTGAGTGCACATCCCTCTGCAAATCATGACTTTCAGTGCCCACAGAAGTGTTTCTTCCCAGGATTACTGTGTTAAGAGTAAAATAAGAAAAGAGTTTGACTTCAAAGTTTGCGAAAACAGTGGCTGATATCAGGGTGTGGTTTGAAGTCATCAAAAAAATTCACTTATCTGGAGCATACAGTGGGATCTAGTAGGTGGGGGTTACAGGAATGGGGTCAGGTGAGGCACTGGACCCTGAGAGATGAGGAACCCTGCTTGTGCCAGTGGGAGCAAATCCTCCTGCAGGAAAAACTCTTCCGTAATTAGAGATTAGATGTATAGAGGTTGTGAGGGACACGGGCTGAGAGTGTATAATCGGCTCCCTCAAGAGCCTGGGTTCCTGTGCACGGGGTCACCACGGTGTGAGCCCAGAGCATGTGCACGTGGAGTGTCCTTTCACATGCTTCCATCTGGATGACACACGTGTGCCCCACAGAGGAGGTGCCGGCAAATGGGCTGTCCATGAGAATTGCTGTGCTGTACCCACCGACAACTGTTTTCACCTCTTCTGCCCCTGTTTCACCAACCCCACATCAGTAATGGCAACTCGATAATGTTTCTCTTTCTTTTCGCAGCTTGAAGACGGTGGCACCATCGGTAAGAGAAACACAAACATCTCCAGGCCCCCGGCTCATCAACACGAAGATAAAATTGTCTTTTCCTCTAAATCATAGTTTCCACTGCATGGGCAGAGACCATGCTTTTCCTTCTTACCCTACTTGATATTTCTTGATTCTCAAATGATTAAATAAAGTGATTCCCAAGGAAACAAGCGTCCCTGAGTAAATGTATCATCCTGCGATGCACAGAAATGTCGGCATGAATGCCTCTGCTCCTCAGCTGTCTGGAGCAGACATCCACATGCCACGTGGCAGAGCGTGTGGTGGCTGACAGGAACGGGGCTTGGATGGTCGCATGGCAGGACCAAAGGCCACAGTTCAGGGCCAGACCTTCCCCCTCACACCCTGGGGCAGCCAGGTCCAGAAAGGGGGGCCCATTTCTCCTCAGAGTGTAATGATCAGACACTAAAGGCCTGCAAGAGCCTCAACTTTGAACAGAGGAAGGAAGCAGGTGCAGGAGGTGGGGCAAGGGCTTGGGAAGGGCCCCTGAGGAGGGTCAGTGGGGCCCGAGGGCTGTTGGACTTGGTCGGCAGAGGAGGAGCAGAAGCTCGAGGCCCGAAGGCCATGTCCGGCTCCCCAGGGACACAGAGATGGAAGCATCGTGCCAGCCCCTGGGGTTAAGAGTCCCTTTTTTCTCTCTCCAGAGGAATGAAACACATTAATGGCGTCTCCATGGTGAAGCGCATAGCTGGGTTGTCACGAGCGCACTATGGCAACCGTGGTTTCTATGGCCCACGCTGGCAGGAAGCTCAGAATCCCCTCCATGGGGAAGACAGGAGCCTGTCCCAGTCCAGCGGGCGTCAGGAAGGTTCCAAGGGAGCCAGGCTGGGCTGCCGGGTGACCGAGCACAGACACAGACAAAAAGAAATTCAAGTCTATTTGTCGCCCTGAAGACAAGGGCCGGCTGGAAAGTCTGGGATGCAGAATCCTTGTTTTTTACCCCCAGGGGACTGGGGTTTATGGCTTGAGCTCACAAAGCGGATGCCGAGCCCCGAGCACTAGCCCAGCTCTGAGTAAGGACACGCATCCCCTGTCTAAATACGGCTGTGGTGTCGTCTGGGCCCTGGACCCACACAGGGAGCCCTGGGTTCTGCACGGTGGTGGTGGCAGCTTCTCCTGTAGCTCACAGGGTCTCCTCTGACCTTCCTGCCATGCGCCACGGTGATGGGCGATATAAAAACACCATCAAATAAAAATATTCTTAAGAATAATACAAAAAATAAAGCTGACCGTTTTGCAGAACGTCTACTGCGGCAGCCTCTGCCGCTGAACACCAGTGAACTTACTGGAAAGAGGGAGGCTTTCACTCAGACACATCCGAGTGAGTAAGACCCCCTTCCCCTGTGCGCTGGACTGGACAGTCAATGACGGGTAAGATCGGGGGCAGACTAAAGAAGGCACTGGCCAGCCTCATGTCTGTGACTCCTGACGACCAAAGACAGGCACAGTCCCCAAGGGGCTTCATCATGAAAATCTTTGGTGTTAAATTCAGGCAAATGTCTAAATGGCTGTAAGCCCAATCTAGGTAATAAGTCTGCAGTAAAAAACCCCTCCTTTGCTTGAAAACAAGGCTGCTAAGAGCGCTGCCTACAAACAAGCCTCACGGAATTACCTACAAAGCAGTTTCACCATTAACCAGTTAGTCATTGTTTCTGAATAAGTAGTAACTTAGCAACTTGTCTATAATTATATTATTTTCTTACCTGACTTTTTCTATATATGTAAAAATCAGTTTCAGGAAACGTATTGTAAACACATATGCTTAGCAACTTGTAAACCATTAGCTAAAAAATTGTGTTCTATGCCTAGGTAACAAGAAACATTGTTATGCTGGGAAAATAAATTTTGTGTGACCTAATGCCTTTTGAAAATGTATAAATATGCGTAATGATTTGAGCAAATTACATTCAGATCTTCACTCTTGAAGTGTGTCTGTCTGTCATTTATGTGCCGAATCCTTGACCATCCTGCACGAGTTTCACATCCCTGGGACGGCTTTGCCAGTCTACCGCTGCGCTGGTCCGCTGCAGTCTACCCCGTGGGGACATATGGACTCACCATGTCAGGGAAAATGATAAACGGATAAAATTAATTTGGAAAAAACGGTCAGAAGTTGGGCGTGCTGTCCATGGGATTGGAATCCAGCCAAGAAAACTGAGGGCGAGTGTTCCGCAGGTATTTTCTTTAAAAGTCACTGGCCTCTTGATCTTCAGTAGCTTGAAGGGAGCACCACAATATGCGGTTAGGATTTTATAAATTGTATTATTGTTTGTATTATCCTTCAGTTTAATTTCATTTGATGGTGTTTTTATACCCCGAAGACTATCCCTTTTGCCTCCTTCTTCCTCTCCCACACCTTAACCTCACCACCCTTGTGGTGCTAATTAATTGCTGGTGGGGGTGAGTGTTTTATTTTATCCAAGTATCTTCCATATGGGTGGCGACTGTTTGTTTTTCTCATTCTGACTCGCTTTACGGCACAGCACTCTCTCAGCTCCCTCCATTTGGCTGAAAGCACCTGCATGACATCCTTTGTCCTGGCTGAATAGTATTCCACAGAGTAGACAGAACACATCTGTCCTCCAGCAAGGCCTCCTAAGACAGATACTCCAGCTCACATCCAGGCATAGCTCTTTCCAGAAAGGGAAGCTCATTTTTTCCCCTAGAGTATAGTTATTAGGCATTGAAGGACAGCAAGTAGCTCAGATTTGATAAGAGGAAGTTGCCAGCCAATGAAGAGAAGATGCAGGATGTGGGAAGTAGGGTGTTTGGGAAGGAACCCTAAGAGAGACCAGGGGGGTGCTGGAGGGCTGCTGGAATTTTTCAGAGGAGGAGGAGGAAAGCTCAAGATCCAAAGGGCACAATCAGCTCCCCCCGGACTCAGAATCCATCACCTGCTGATGGAATTTAGCTGTCCCTGTCCTGTCACTGCCAATAATGAGGTCCTCAGGGAGAAATATTTAAGCCAGAATTACTCCCCTCCCAAAGAGAGACAAGATGGCCGGCGGAAGCACTCTTACAACCTCATTACCACTGCAGGGACATTCCCCAAAATTCACCGTGGGCTTCAGGAACCCTCAGGGGCTGCCAGGCTGCTCCTTTGATGCCTAAAAAAGGCGTGGGTGAGTTTCAACCAAATGCCCCACTCTCACCTTGGCTGTCTGCGAGAGAACACACCCCCCATACTTGTGGTAGGAGACCATGAGAAGGAAGAGCACGCCCCGTCATGCATGTGCAAGGAGAGCTTAAAAAGACATCACTGTGTATTCGGTAAATAGCTTCAGCTTTACTTTCTAAACTCTCCGATATGAGAGAAATATCCATCCATAGTCCTCAGATTCTCAGAGATTACATTTTCTCTGTTTCCCTGAAATACAGCTAAGGAAGTGAAACGTTGCCTAGACTGATACATTTTAATAAACATCCCCTGCAATTTGATTTAACAGGTTCTAACAGCTAACTCAATTAGTGATTTCTTGTTTGTATTTGAATAGCAATGGATTTTCCCTGGCAGTCATTTGTAGACCCTGGATACCGGAGTACGGTGCTCTGCAAGTGCTATGATTAATTAGGGCCTGTCTCGATGACACTATAAGGTGCACCTGGGGGGGGGTTGGTTATGGGGGATACTTCCCCTTCCCATCCACGTTTCTTCTGGGCTAGTTAAAATAAATAAATAAATAAATTAGCATCGGACAAACTGAGAAGAGGAACAGGCCCACAAGCAGATTAGTAAGGACACGCCCATGGCCCATACGGCCTGTGCACCCGGGGGAGAGCCTCTGAAGCTGGGAAGCTCACCACGTGCCTCAGGCCTCACCTCCAAGGGCTCAGAGATGATTCCATGTAAACAGCCTTGGCCCTTCCCAATAAATCAGCTTCACCAAAAAGACATACTTGGAGAAGGCAGATTTTTGTTTCCTGACAGTGGCTAAGTCCCCGCGAGAGAGACGATGAACTCTAGGTTTAATATCTAACCTCATTAAGTATTTCCCATCTTTGATATTACCTTAATGTTCTTAGTAGGGAAAACTACGATCTTTTTGGCAAGAATTTTTACAACAGCTTTTTACCTGGCTTTCTAAGTCACCTGTAGTTGTGACTTTTTCCTCCAAGTAACTCAGCTGAATATAAGTAGATCTTTCTAAAATTCAAAAGTAGGAATTGTAACTATAAGAATCTGTGTCCAGTGAGTAGATTCCAGGGGCCAGTCCCGTAGGGTAGAATCGTCACCCACCTGCCGGCTCCCAGGGTCACATCACGTTATCCCGAGTGCAGCCCAGAGGGTGCGTTTGGAAGTGATCTGAGGCCACGCGTCTCCACATCAACATTCTCAGCTTTGCAGTCTATGCTCCGTGGATAGCGTGGGCGTCTGGGGTGCTGGTACAATGAGCAGAGGAAAGGATCCTTTTCTGTCCATGTGTTGGATGCAGAGAAATGCATTTTTGCTGCAAAAAAAAGGGACAAAGGAGGCTGCATTCTACAGCTTCAAGACAGTGAGCACCAGGTTTCAGAGAGTGCCACTTTTTTCTCAGCAATTGCACATGTACGTCTCTACCCAAAGAGCGCTAAGTCATCCAATGGGGCATCTGCACTCCTGTGTACACTGCAAGCTATAGAAGCACCTAAGTGCCCAAGGACAGATAAATGGATAAAAAAGATTGGTTGCACGCGCACACACACGCACACACACACACACACACACACACGCGGAATACTACACAGCTATCAAAAAGGTGAAGCCTTGTCATTTGTGCCAACATGGATGAACCTGTAGGGGATGATGCTGAGTGAATTAAGTCAGAAGGATAAAGATAAATACTGGATTATTTTACTCATCATGGAACATGGAGAAATAAAGTGAAGACACGGGGAAACTGAAACCGAAACAAGTCCTAGAAATCTGATATGAGGCTACCAGCGGGGTGGAAACCAATGTTATTGCAATAAAAAAATAGGACTTTTAAAAACGAGCAATTAAATCTCCATAGCTACAACCAGACAGAACAACAGGGAAACAGTGATGAAATATTGCAGATTGGATTATGCTCAGAGAAACATCACTCCACGACCCTCGGGATACATGTT